TATGCTGAAAAAATTAAGAATTTTCAACACTATCTTATTTCAAACTCTATCTCTAGATGCCACACACACGCACGTCTAATTTTTAATTTCAGGTCACATAATCAGGTCAAATACCTCCACCAATGCGGTACTTGAGCGATTATTACTTGGATTACTTTGAAATATTTAAATGAACTGTTGAATTCAAGACTTTCTCTTTGAGGTTGTTACCCCCCCCCCGTCTTTTCAGTGTTAACTTATTTCATAGCATATTCTCATTGAGTACAGCAATGTTCTGTGTATTTCGTACTGTAATCCTTCAATTTGTACTGTAATACAAGTGGTTTCACGGGTCGTATTCTGTGAAAATTCTGAAAAACGCGATTAAAATTGAAAATTTTTAGGTTACTTCATTTTTGACAAGGAAATCAAACTTGTTCCAATGTTCCATGCATGTTACGTATAGTCATGTTATACTTTATGCAGTATTATTTTATTCTATAACGTATGTTTACGGAATACTTCTTACTGTACACCACGGAGAGATTGTAAAATAGTAGAATTTTTGCTGTTGTCGTGAAAATGCATTGTTCAATTTCTCAATTTTCTGGCGCTTATTGACGTGGAAATTTGTGTTTGGTGCGATGAAAAATCTGGAAAATTGCATCCGTAATTGAAAAATCGGAACCGAGAAATGTACACTGTGGTCTAATTTTTAATTTCAGGTCTCTATTTCAGGTCAAGCGCTACAAATATGGTGCTGGAACGGTTGCTGATTGGATTACTTTGGATTGTGATGGACTCTGTTGGGCTAATCTTTGTGTCTTTCATCGTTACTGTATGAGTTCACTTTTGACATTCAAAAAGATGTTTTTCAGCATTTAAATTTCAGTTGTTCGCTTCACACCAATTTTAACTCTCTCTTAACTTAAAATAACACCGCAAATTTTTCAATTTTCCGAAATTCTATACCATTTTCCGAATTTTTCGGCCGAATTCTGAAAAGTTTCGTAAAAATTGATGGATTACTTCATTTTCCTGGATGAAATCAAACAATTTCCATCAAAAAATCACTGAAAATGTGGAAAAATGAAGCAAAAACTGAAAATTTTCAAAAAAAATCACGCTGAACATCAATTCGAGCGACAGAGTGCAGGCATCGAAAATCTTAAGTCCTCAAAAGTTTTGGATTAGTTGAAGTATCCCCAATATGTCAATGGAAATTGCTTAGCGGATCAACGTTTCACATCGTTAAACGTTAATCCATTAACGTTAACGTTACGTTCCGTTTTCTTTTCATCGCTGAATTCAATTCGTTAGTTTTTTAAAACAACGAAAATTTCACGAAATCTCAGAAAAGAAATTTGTTGAATTGAAAAAAAAATCCATAAAAATGGATTATACTGAAAAGCAAAAATGTTTACGAGTCAAAAATTAATGACATT